TAGTATATATATATTAGTATATATATATATATATATATATGTATATGTATGTATGTATGTATGTATGTATGTGTATATGTATGTATGTATGTGTGTATGTATGTATGTATATATATATATATGTGTGTGTGTGTGTGTAAACATTGTCGGAAATCAGGAGAAATTTATGTTGAATATGTATATATGTTTGTCTATGTGTATATATACAACAATGGTCGAATACGTTTACATTGACCGTCTCACTTCAAAATGCCGACCAACTGGCAGTCTGCCACAGGTTAGTTTTTATCTTTCTACTCACGATCTATATATAGCGCTTTGTCTGGGGGTTTAAGATTTTGGGGTTTCGTAGGATGTCTTTTCCTTTTCTACCCACGATTAATCTTTACTCCCACCTATCAAGTTTTTTCATCACAAAAAATGGTCTTGTGTCGACGCACGTGCTCACCACTCAATCCATGCGAAAGTCGCTCAACCAACCACATCCTCCTATCAACTATCTATTTATAGCACAACTGGTCAGTCCTCGTCAACCAACCACATCATCCTATCCACTATCTATTTATAGCACAACTGGTCAGTCCTCGTCAATCAACCACATCCTCCTATCCACTATCTATTTATAGCACAACTGGTCAATCCTCGTCAACCAACCACATCCTCCTATCCACTATCTATTTATAGCACAACTGGTCAATCCTCGGCAACCAACCACATCCTTCTATCCAATATCTATTTATAGCACAACTGCTCAGTCCTCGTCAACCAACCACATCCTCCTATTCACCATCTATTTATAGCACAACTGCTCAGTATTCGTCAACCAACCACATCCTCCTATTCACCATCTGTTTATAGCACAACTGCTCAGTCCTTTGGATTCGCCCGTACATTCCCCCTCGTCGTCCCGAAAAAACCTTTTAGACACAGAGCCCGATGAGAAACTCGATGCGGCAACAGTGGTATGTTGCTGTGCGTTTGAATTGACTTGTAATCATTGGACAGCTGTACGAGGCTGGATGGTATATCTTATTCGTATCTTTGATTGAATATATTGCGTCGTATCTTTGATTGTATATCTCGTGTCGTATCTTTGATTGTATATCGTGTGTCGTATCTTTTGATCCGTGTGTTGGTCCGTTATACAGTTCCTATATATTGTCGTCCTTCTGTCTGTGAGTGACTACCATCACTTTGCAATCCTGCATTCCAGTGCAACTGTGGATACGTATGCATGTTTTCATGTCCTCCACAGAGGAGAGGATTAGAGACTAATGTCTTTCTTAAACTACCACACAATCTCTCTGCGTTGCCTCGTCTCAGTGCGTCTTTTGACCCAAATGAATGCTTTCATGTCCTCCACAGGAGGGATGCGTAATGGACTACACTCTCCAGTTCGACCTGTACGATCAAATAGAACGCTGGTTCCACGAGCGGCTACTGGATGAGGTCTGTAGCATTTAAGACGTCTGCCAGTAGTAAATATATACATATATATATATAGATGTATTGATATATACCTATATCTATATCTATATCTATATATATACCTATACCTATATCTATATCTACATCAATATTTATATCTATATCTATATCTATATCTATAATTATATCCTTATATATATTTATATCTATATATATGTGTGTGTGTGTGTGTGTGTGTGTGTGTGTGTGTGTGTGTGTGTGTGTATGTATGTACATATGTATGTATGTATATATATATATATGTATGTATATATATATGTGTGTGTGTATGTGTATGTGTGTGTGTGTATGTGTATGTATATACATGTATGTATATGTATGTATATATATGTATATATATAAACAACTGCGTATATTATCATGCATGCACGTGACGAGAGCCATACGGCCCTCGCTTCACTTCTGCGGATGCACTGTTGATCATGCTGTGCATATTTCAGTGTTTTAGGTTATAGCTAGAGACCTTTTCTCAAAAGACAAACAGCTCTGATCTACTAATATCTGAGTGTACTCTTTTTGTACACGAGCTGTGCCCAATGATTCGAGGAGAACGCCTTTGTCTCTGTACACAGACTGGTAGTACTATTAAGTTAACTCTATAACCTAGTAAACTTTGCTTATGGAGAGAAGAGGGGGGGGGTTATAAACCTACACTGTAAATGAGGATGTCAGTGTAAAATGTCAACACATGTTTGATTTATGTAAAACCGAACATGATAACGTATTAGTGTAGATGCTTTGGTCTGTAACTGAACAACACCTGATCGCTTGCGTACGTTGTATATGAGATAGTGGAGTACTGCGTAAGTATTGTCTGGAGTGTATGTAGCTAATACGATGGGTTTCTAGGATATACTGTTTATATTTATATGGTATGTATGTAAATATATATATATATATA